AAACTCCCCGAAAAAAGCCTTTTCATCCGTTTCAAAGCTCAGATTCGGGTTCTAAGGGTCGAAAAGGCCCAAAGCGTGCAAAAAGATAGAAATGCAAAATCTGCCGGGACACTGCCTTTAACAAATTTGAAGTTTGGTGTGCAAGTCCGTTTTGTTTTACCTTATCTGAACTGCTAGCAAGTATGTAAGCTTTTGTATGCAACATCTCCTCGATCTTCTGACTCCTCGTTACTTGTTGCTCCCTAATCCCATATCACGGTGGGACTGATCAGTTTTGTTCGAGAACGTTTTGTGTCCCATATGAAAAAGTCTATCTTTATTGCTCTATGCAGGGGCACATGTCTGCCTCTAATTACTCTCAACGACATGGAGTACATTTAGGGTAATTCTCATTACTTGCTGGTTTTGGACTTACCAAATGGGAACTTGAAATGATCAAGGTTGCATACTTCAATGTAATTTATGTGATTGCTCGGAAACTAGAATATATACACTGTACAATTACACTCAAAATTTTCTTTTTGCTATTCTGTGCAACTTGCTGCACAAATTTTGATCTCATAAAACAGCAAGCTTTATGAAAGTTTGCTGTTTTATGTGTATGCTAGTGTATAATATCCACTACCAGGGCTCACAGAGGTGGCGCTTTCACACACGCTGGATGTCGTTTTTGAAGGGAAGCAAAGGGGAACCCGTAAAGTTCTCACTCGGATAAATGGGAAATATTGGAAAGCACAACCCCAACTCTTAGCATTCTGCCAATTAAAGATTGATAACACGTTCAAATGCAACTAGTGCATAAACCTGTGTGCACACAATTCTAGCGTGTCAAAGCCATCTTTTACCCACAAAATATACAGCCGCTTCATTTCATATGATCATGTGTGTCATTGCACACACAGTTCACCTTTGGCGTCCCCATCCTGGATTCGTGGAAGAAACAATCCTTCAGGTAAGTGTTTCCAAGGTGTTCTGAGAATTTTCTTTCCTTTTTAGTTACTAGTCACCTCAAATTGATGTAATCGATAACAATCGGTAAGTCTCTTGCGTTTTTGCGATTGCAAATCCAGGATGAGGACGCCAAAGTGGCCTGTGTGTGCAATGGCACACATGATCATATGAAATGAAGCGACTTTAAGCAATCGGTTTATTCACAATGAGTAAGCAATATTGAGCCACCGGCGATGATCAAAAGAAAAGTACGAAAATTTTGAAAAAATCATGTGAACGAGAGGAGTCGTATGTAAGTGTTTTCGATTTTAGGTTGCTCCCGCGCAACCTGGGAGCACCGTGAGGTTGGACGAGACAAAGACATGAATCTTGACAATTCTCCTCTCTCCTCACATAAATTTCCAAATTTACATAAATCTATCTTTAGAAGCTCTACCTAAGAGTACACATCTTGACTCAAGTTTCGTCCCCTATGCTTTGTTATGGCTCTTGATGATATAAAAACAGCTTTTTTTCGCATTTCTTTTACCTTGATTTATTTCCATCTTTTCCTTCACTTCAAACTTTTTTCTTTGTAGATAATTGGAAGAGCTTCTACAAACAGCAAAATTCGGAATGTCACGGGGGACTTCTTTTTTGAATTTCTTATATGCCAAGTGCCGAAAAATTACGTACGCTGGCTGCCTATTGAACGAAGACGGGACTCCGACTTCTTCTCAATTTAAGACAGAATCTATCGCGAAGAACTTCTACACTAACCTCTTCCACTCGTCAACACCCGTGCCGATGCCCGTTGTTCCCACTGGAGAAGTACCATCACGAATTCTACCTGGTGAAGTGCGTACCGCGATTCAGACATGAAGACGTCCACGGCTTCAGGACCAAATTATCTTCCTGTCGAACTTCTGCGAGCCGGAGGACACCGTCTACACGAGGTTCTAACGTCGTATTTAACATCTTCAGAAGGAGAAGATTCCCGACCAGTGGAGAACGTCAAGAACCGTCTTTCATCTTCGTAATCACCGTCCAATATGCCTGCTGAGTGTGCTGTACAAACTTTTCACGCAGATTATCCTCGCTCGCATAACTAGAACACTGGATGAAGCCCAACCCCAAGAACAAGCTGGATTCCGCAAAGGATTCAGTTGCAAAGACCACATTCAGATGGTCTCCAGGGTTATAGAAGTCTGCCGGGATACCGACTGTTTCTCGTCCTGACGTTCGTCGACTACGAGAAAGCCTTCAACAGCGTCGAAGTCACCGCCATCCTGTCAGCGTTAGTCGATCAAGGAGTGGACCCAGCCTACGTGAGGACACTAGCTAACTGCTACAAGGACTGTACAACAACCATGCAGCTATTCCATCGCCCCCTGACCATTCCAATCGGGAAGGGAGTTCGACAAGGTGATACTATTTCGCCGAAGCTGTTCACCGCGGCCTTGCAGTGGGTGATGAAGTCACTGAACTGGGACGAGAGAGGCATACGAGTTGATAGGAGATTCCTGTCGAACCTTCGTTTTGCAGACGACATCGTTCTCTTTTCGAGCAGTATCACTGAAGCAGAGACGATGCTGAAGGAACTGAACGGAGTAGAGAAGAAGATCGGATTGCGAATCAATCGGAAGAAGACTCAGTTTATGAGGAACGCCCTTTGCGAAGATGCAGAAATGGAATTGGAAGGCACCCCTATTATGGAGACGTCTTCTTACCTGTATCTCGGACGTTCGATGAATATGGAGAACAACTTGAGGGAAGAACTTAACAGGAGAAGAAGAGCAGCCTGGGCCGCCTTTGGGCCTCTGAAGGAAGCCACCGACCCACTGACGGACCCGGAGCTTCGTGCCCACCTGTTCGACTCAACCGTTCTCCCGGCGCTCCAGCTGAGACTTGGGCCGACACTGTAGCCACGTCGAAAGCCTCACGGACCACCCACAGAGCGCTCGAGCGCAGTCTTCTGAAGATGATCCGACGCAAGCAACATCTAGTCGGACTTCGCAGTACGGATATAAGAAGAATGTCCCGTCTTCGTGAGCCAGCGGAATACGTTGCGAAAGCGATGCACCGATAACCCGGTCACATCATGAGAAGAACAGACGACAGATGTACACTAAGAACATCTGAGTGTATTCCTCGCGAAGCCAAACGTCCCCAAGGAAGACCACCAACGAGATGGGCGGACGTGTTCGTGTGGAATGGATGGACCAGCTGAGAAATCAGCTGGATACGATTTTTGCACCTGGAACTCGTGGACGCAGCCACCGACGTTTGCCAAGAAGATCGTGAATGTCTGAAGCGAAGGACAGGGATCGAAGGAAACTTTTGTGCTGAGGCCCGCACGCCACGTGAAGATGGGCCATGTAAGTATCTAACGATAGGTTAGTAAGTACAGGGTGCGGCAAAAGTCTGGGAGCCTAAGTTTGCAGTACTGCAATTAAAAAGATACTGATGGTTTTGATTTCATTTTTGTGCCACATGATGCTGCGGTCATCCTCTACAAAATACACTTTATTTGGATGGATAGGGCTGCCACAGTTTTTGTAAGAATGTAAATTACCAAACTTGTACTTTTGCAAAGCGAAAAAATCAGAATTTTTAGTATTTACAATTATTGCTGTAGCTAGAGATGCTGTTAATATTTTACAGAACTTCGATGCACACAACATAGAAGAGGCTTTGCGCTATTGCATCCTAGTTTTGCTTTTGCCAGGAGCTGTTCTTGCATAAACGGAAAATAAAAGTTTGCGAATGTTACCTACGTGCCAGTGGAAATCCGTCTTCAGAACAAATTTAAAAGCTATAGAATGCTCAACAGACACTGGGACCAAGGCTGTATTTTTTGCATACGTCTTCTAAATTAGAATCTATTGAAATTCGGCCATGGGAACACTTTTTATACTTTTTAAACGATAATTTTAAGTTTTTATTCGCGCAATTGTAGCCAAAATTCCGGTATGCGACGTACATGCTTCTAATTGAAAATCCAATATTTTTATTCCTAAGCAACGCAAAAAATTCTTTTGGAAGCATGTTGTAGATAAAAGCTTGCTCTATCGTGCTGCACATTTGCCAAGGTAAAAGAAGCAGTATTGTGGAGGCGTGGGGCGAACTCCATTACGACTGCCTGCGTGCCATGACAGGTGGACTTTCCAAGATTTTGTAGGGCTGCGTGGAATCCAAAAGAGGCAATTTCGAAATTCAAGAACTGTGCTGTATCTGCAATGGTTCGAATTATGTGTGCGCCAACTTTCTCGTTTCTAGGTGCTTCCCTTCCCATTCTATATGAAAAAGTACTAGGCTCCCAGACTTTTGCCGCACCCTGTATATGCCATCTCGTGCTGGGCCCTGCCCACTACCCAAATGAACCCATGTTGGTATTGGTTTGGAAAATATAGCAGCATTTGAAAAAGCTTGTCTTTAAGGCTGGACTAACTAACCCATTTCCTTCTTCTGATCACTACAGCTTTCCATGGCTTTTAAATTTTTATAAAGGTATGATCTTGAAACACCAAATAATCGCCACTTGAGCAATGCAGGTAAGCCTTTTGATGATTGATACTTTCGTTCAATATTAATCAATAAACTTCATCACGTTAGCGGTTAAAGTCTGCTCTATTTTGTAGCAAGGTCTCAGAACAAGGAAAAGAGTTTCTAGAGAGCCATACAGAAATTGTGAGAGGGTACCGGTGTCCAGCGTAGAATCTAGCTGAAGGGATAGTTTGAAATTTCTCAAAAAACGAAGAGTGCATATTCAGATTCGACTACTGCTTTGCAATGGTAAGGGTGGAAACGAATCTTTATCTGGTACTTCATCAAGACGTCTTTTCATTTGTAATTATTCGAATCGACAATTTTAGCGCACTTGTAGTCGATATCTGCACTCGTCTTTTGGACAAATACTCTTGTTAGCGTATAAGGGTTCTTGTTCCCTGAGTCTAAAAACCTATGGAATATACTAACACAACAGATATTCATTTTAAAAACGGCACATGATTTACGATTAACAATAAAATTCCTTGCATTGAGCCAAACCAGCGAGCAAACATGGTTTGGCCGCAATGTCCGGATTCTAAATTTTGAAAAAAGTTCAAAATTTTACACAGATATAGATTAAGTGACCATGTGTACAACACATTCGACATATAACATATATGTAAATCTGCTGAGATCATCATCATCATCATCATCAAATTACAATCATCATGACATCCACTACTTTCGATAAAAGTAACGTTTGATCTTCGTCGTGAAGAGGATAGGGTCATCGCTCGACGGCTGATTGAAGCTCAACATACACTGAACAGGACTGAAGAAGCAATTTCTGTCGTATTTTTTCACTGTCTTCGCCGTTGGTTGCAAAATCCATTCGGGATAGCCATCATTAGCCGTCCGTGATGTTCTGTAAAAGTGTTAAATGAGCTGAGAGCAAGTTTTACAATTTTTTTGTAAAATTTTTCCACAATTTAGGCCCTATCTCCTTACTGAGGAGTCCCGAAGAGGGCCTAAAAACTAATAAACTTTATCTGAGGGAAGAGACAAAACGTGTAATGAGAAGCCTTGTTTTACTCCTTTAATTTATTTTATAGATTAATTTGAGGTTATTCGAGTTTTTGAAAGCTCATCCAATTAGAGAATTAGTTTTGAAATCAGTTATAGACTTTTTCATCACTAATCGTGGGCCATTTGTGTCACTCAAAATTTTTCAATAATATCTATCCGATACGCTAATGTCAATTATTGCATGTAAGTCGGAAAAGTTCCGTAATGAATGTTTTTTTTTGGAAATTTTTAGATTTGAGCAGCAGAATTATGCGAAATCATCTACAATTTGGTTAAGAAGGACATAAATATTATGTGGCAACGTCTCAAAACTCAGACAGCCTCCTCTTTTAGGCAAATACCTATTTTCCACCTATAATTTCCTCTACTCCAAAGCTGGCCAAAGAGCTTGTCTAGTCTATTCATTTAGTTGCGCTACATTAACTTCCCCTTTTGAATCTTCTTGCAATGACGTCATCAGCATAAGTTTCCATCGCTAATCACCACTAGCGACATCTCAAAAGCTATTCTTGCTTTTCTCAGCGGCAATTTTTTTCCGACAAAGTGAAACGACTAGAAATGTTGGAAAAGTTGAGTAGTTCACGTCATTCATGCGTCATTCTGACACTATATACGGAAAGACTAAAGGTAACTCTGAAAGGAGCTGTAAAACACTCCTGTTTTGGGACATTCGGTGTGCTTCGAATTATGGATGTGCTCCAAACCTTGTCAATAATTCTTAAGGCAAAAAAATGAGTAACTTACTGCAAAAGATGCATAAGCTGACTATCTTGTGATGATGAGAATATCGATGAGAGAACAGGAACAACGGCGAAAATTGAAAGCAACAATGGTCGCTGCATTACCTGAAAATTAAGTAATTAAGTTAAGCAATTAGGTTTCTTGTATCTTTACACAATTCGAAATTCACGACACGATTACGTAAAGAGGAAGAATCGCAAGGCGTTCTAACAACAGTGAGAATAAAAAGCAGACCAGCTTATATAAAGTATAAACATATGTCAGATTAGAAACTAGTAAACTCTGATTTGCGAGAGTAGTTACATTTGTCTAAGGAGCTTAGATGTTGTCTCTGGGATTTGGAAGGGCAAAGTGGTGGGAGATGGGAAATAAAGATCTTTTAGATTAGGATGAGCTTCATGTGAAACTGATTCTTTATTTATAAAAAGACTATTTTGAGAAGGAAGTTTTGAAAATGTCTAAGAAAAGTATTCATAGATACAAAAATTGCACCGAAAATGTAATAGTTTCTGTAAAAAAAACGTTACAATTTTGCTAATAGTAAAAAATAATGTATTTCTGCATGAATACATTCCAGAATGGACGTAACCTTCTGTTGTAGAGTTGGCTTCAACTTAGATTCACATTATAGAGCGAATCGTCCATCTTTCTCCTTTACTGTAAGATTACGGTAGAAATTTTAAAGAGGGTTTTGGGCCATGAAAGGCCATATTTTGCCTCAGAAAGGAGATAAAACAGCCTGAAAACTTTTACACTAGGCTAGTTGGAGTTGCTGATTCTAACTGTAAAGTTACCAACTTATTGTGATGCTTCATTGAAGGGTTATGCCAGGTAAGAGGTAGCGGCCATTTTTCAATGTTCCTAAAAAGTGCGGTTGCACCTTTAGAAAGCTTCGCAATCTTGTGAATAGTTAAGTATTGAACTCAGCATCCATAAAAACCCTATTACACAAGTTTTCACATTTTTTTGAAAAATTTTGAAACGGCAGCTTCTTCCACATTGACACCATATGTTTCGAATTTCTACCGTAATCCTACAATAATGAAGCGAGATGGTTGATTCGTTCTATACTGCAAATTTAAGTTGAAGCCAGCTGTGCAAAATGGTACCTAAAGCAAGGCAAAAGACTTCTTGGGAAAAGAGATATTAACGATCAAACAGTGTATACATACTTTACGGACACCCTGTATAATTTGTTCTTGGAATAGAAAAACCATGAAGAGAGTGGTAAAAGTTACCAAAAGTGGTAATAAACGGCTTACCAACTTTACACCTTTGACTTTTTACACAAAGGTTTACATAACTACTCAATGGTTGAGCTTTAATGGTCCAAGTAACTAAATCATAGGTAAGTCAGACAGCAAATAGGACGTCACGAAAATTACTTGTCTGGTAATCATATATTTCGTTGTAGAAGCGTTACTGCACTAGCAATTATCTTGCAAATTACAGAACATCAAAAACCTTAGGAATTTCCCAGCTTCGAGTTGAATTACTCATAAGTCTACAGCTTTCATGCAGCAAAATCTGAGTTTTTTGTTTTAATGGATTCCCACTTTTTATTGCTTTTTCTATTCGCTATCAATGACATTTTTCTGGCATGATTGGAACTAGAGTTCATATGAGATTCTTGCAATCATGTTATGCTTTCGCATCTTCGGTGATCAGGATGACGTTGATGTCCGAGAGAAGTTTCTAGGTACCCAAAAAAATCCTAAAAGAGCAGGTGTAAGTATTAATAAAAAAGTGCTTTCATATCCTGTTGCTTGACTTTATTTTTTTAGAGAAATTTGGATTTTTGGGGGGCGCACCGGGACTGAAAATTTTTTTGAAGAATAATACTATATTAAGTCAAATGGAGGAAGTCTACTTTAGCTTAATGTCGGCGATAATGCGCGATTTATCTTTAAGTACACGGGTGATGACGCACGGAAGCTCTTGAGAACTTGCCCAAATTGGAAAAAATCTCCTAGAATCCGTGATAATTGACTCAAGTCAACCCACGGTATCTTGGAATATATATCTGTGGGCCAAATCGTGGCATTATTTGACCGACGTCATTCAGTATATGAGGAAATCGTCACGTTCGCTAAAGTAATCCGGCATATCCATTTTTGGGCGGAGAAAATGCGAAAATTTGATCTATGGTGAAACTTGAGCATCTGTGATCAGCAAAGGTGCATGAATTCATCCATGTTCGATGGAAACCCAGATTATAAGCTCAATGATATTCATCAAACAGAAAGAAAGAATGGTACGCGATTAGCATCTTGAAAGGAAGAAAAATGGTAAGAAAAATTTAATTGAGGAATTAACGAATGGTATAATCCTTGAAGGTGCATTTGATGCTTTAAATTTGCAATAATTTATGAAATATGAGGACTCGACTCTTTGTGTTCGTTTCTCACCAGGTCTCATCAAGTTACGTGAACATTTCGTGAGACAAACTATAAGTTTAAAATTTCAAAGATATTTACACATTGGAAGAATTTCGTGAAACTAAAAATGCCAAACATTTCCTATCACTATCAAAGTTACAGAAAACTTCAGCTGCACTCTTGAAGCCTTCGAAGTTAATACAATTCGATTGCCCAATCAATGAAAAACTACATACGTTGAATTATTCAAGTGTTGTCTGCTGTCAACAGTCTTGAAGTTTTGCTAAGCATACTAAATGCTGAAATCATGTTATGAACAGCAGAAAGAAATTACACAAAAAGAGTTTTCAATTATCAAGTGTACAGCAGATCAAATTCTCCACTTTGCATTTTTCTCACAAAAAATTACTATTACCTGCTCCCCAGTCGAATGATACGTTTTTCATTAGCAGCTTGAAGAGAAATCTTTGAAACTTTATTTGTATGTATTTATCAGATGAAAAATTTATTGGAGGAAGGGCGGTAAGGGGAAAACAAAGACTGACTTCTAGATCCCACTGAGAACAGAGCTGAAGTTTTGTCCCAAAAATCACAGCAAAAAATCACTCATTATTTTTATTAATTACTCACTTTAACTGCTAAATTTTCGCAGCCCGCATGAATGGGTGGAAAAGCTGAAAATCACCATGATTTGATGACGGAAGAAGAAGGCGTCAAGCACATTGTTATAGAGATTTGTTCCAAAAATATTGCTATAAACACCAAAGAAGGACCACCCACTAAGTTTTCATTCAAACGGTTAGTTTGCAAGGCTGCAGGAACAGGTGAAAAAGCTGGAAATCACACAGACTGGAATGCCAGAAGAAAAGGCGTAAAGCATATCGTTATAGAGATTTGTTTTCACGACATTTCGAAAAATCACAGCAAATCCCATGTGTATACATACTAAATGGCTATGATAACATTAGATTGTTTGAGCTTTGTGAACAAAAGCAGCTTGCAGTGCAATTGTATCTGATATTTTTTGTAAGATTAATTAAGGTTATAAGAAGATATTCTTGCGTGGGATAAAGCTTCCATTTGTCATAACTACAAAAAAATGTAAACAGTTGGATGTATTTGAATTACCAAAGGTGAAGTAAGACTATAGCTAAGGTTTAGTCCACCGAAAGATGATTTTGTGCTATAGGGCAGATGTGACTAGGAGAAGAGGGAGTAGTGCACAGCTTCCAAAAATTAACGGCTTTTTGAAAAGTTATCCAAATGTTTATGTGGCATTTGGTTTGATAGAGCAAATTTTTCTAACGATTGAGCTTTTAGCCTGTTATTTTGAGATTTTCGGTGTTGCAAGAGCGCACACATAAATAATAATAAAATTTGCCTTTTGCCTGCCAAAGCTGTTCCAGGCAAAGGAGAAACACAGAAACAAGATTCGGCACGAGCTGGCACCAGAAAATTCCAAAACGAAGTTCCCTCGATTGTAGAAACTTCATACGAAGCCCCCTTTGACCCCAAACCCTAAACATAAAAAACCCTAAAAAACGAAATGCCGACCAAACAAACGTTGCAATTTTTGTGTCTTTTCGGCCATAAAAGCAATATCCCTTTTGCCTTTTGTCCCAAGAACGATATCGAGCTTAACCCAGTGCCAGCTGTGCCGAGCCGTAAAGGAGAACGATATTAGGTTCTGGAAGACTTTCTCACAATTGGCTTATACCGTATTCAGTTCACGCTGGCTGAATTTCTAATGAGTTTCTTGTGAAACTCAAGATTTCCGTAACGCGTGGAATGATTTCAGATAGCTGTTCTAAGCATATGAAGATACAATCTGTAGAAAAAAAAATTTTGAGTTTTTTGATCTGCAACAACGGCAATTATTATAATTAGGCTTTAAATGATTCGATCAAGGCAATGCTGCCTCTAATGCCATTAGCAAACTAATCTAGCAAAATTTGCAATGACTTATTAATCGAGCTGAAGAAGCAATAACGTTTAAAGTAACTTTCTCTAAGAAATACAGTATCAGTGGGAGACAAAGAAAACAAAGTTGTGTGTATTACCCGCGTGGAAAAAAAGAACTTCAAGCTCCATTGAGGAAAATAGAGACTAGAATGAATTCTTAAGGCTTTGCAAGCGACGAGCTTACAACTTAATAAAACTTTGCCATTCAAGCTGCAAAGCTATATTACCCTCATCAGTGAAGCAATAGATTTCAAACTAACTACTGCTAGTCAAGTCTTCGCCTTAATGATCTGAAAAACCATGCTTGTTCAGAACAAAACGTTCAGGTGACGTTCTTCATTCCTCTACGGTATAGAAGTGTGCAAAGAATGCTAGTGACGAGATGCGCATTGTAAACAAATTCTAATTTCGTACTTTCAATGCCACCAATTTAGTTTCCACAGAAAAAAATCTTATGCCCGATGACTTCCGCCTCTAGAACGTCGGGGCGCTTAGACTCTAGAAAATCACTATAGAACCACACTTTCTGATAACTAGTCGAAAAGTGGAGTCCTATTTTATACATTGTAGTCATCCATTCTTTGAGGAATAAATGAAAAATGGCCGGAAGCATTATGAAGTAACGTTGCATACCTTTACAAGAAACTGCTTTGTGCTTTCTTACTTTCTACGCCCACTGCTAATATAATGGTTGTTCCTAGCTCCAAAATTAGAAAGCCAGAAGCTTGTGAAAAAAAAGTGGCAAAAGATAAGCCCATGAGGAAAA